TAACTGAGGGGAAGACTAGAAATGCATAAAAACAGATAGGAAACCCTGCTTAAGAAAAATACTTAAGAGAAAACAGTTATCCATTGTTAGTGTGGTTTAATGTGTCAAGACAAAGTTCTTTTTATTTTTCTCTTTCAGGTAATGTAAAATATAAGATCTGAAAATAAAAACTCTGATAAAATTGAAGTTCAATGGATTCTTTAAGGTTTTCATGAGGAAAATGGTCTAAGTTGTCTGAATTTTTTCCTACCATAAGTTAAACCTCTTGATGTATAAGAGGTTTATCACTAAGGATATTTTGAAATTATATATATATATTTAAAATATAATTTGCATTGCTTTTAAAAGGAACATTATTAAGAAACTAATATAGAGATAATTATTTTTTCTCTTTCACTCTGTGGAGAAATATTTATGAAGCCATCACTGTCCTTTGAAGGTACAACTTTGGGCTTGATATGTGGTAACACATTCAGTTCAGGTATCGCATTCTCAGAATGGCCTTCCTCAGTTACTTAAAACAGCGCCTCACTTCAGCTCTCTTCAGTAAGTCTCCAAGGCATTACCTTATTTTAGTTTAGTTATAGTCCTTAACAGGAGTAGAAATGACCGCATTTATCCCTTTGTTACCTCCTTCTCTCTACTAGATTTTAAGCTCCAAATGGTAGCTCCTTTGTTAACCAAGCTTGAGTGAAGCTTCTCTGGGCCCTCTTTCTGACTAGGCCTCATCTTTGGACCTTGTCTTTGCCTGCCTCCTCCAGCTGTAGCAAGAAATGTGCTCAGGCTAGTTAGAAACCCCACCTCACGATCTGATCCCCTGACCTGCTTTCAGCAAGAATTCTAAGTTGGTTTAGCAACAATCCCCGTACCCTTGGTATCTCCTCTTAGTAATTTTTCATTTAGAGACTTGTTGGCTACAAATCCCCACCTGCCTTTGCTATATTTGGAGTTGAGCCTGATCTCCTGAATGATGTCTTTCTTACTGTTTGATAATGTGTCAGAATAATTTGATCATCTCAGCATCTGTAGTAGTGCCTGGCATGTAGAAAACA